GTTTTGGGGAGGCTGTATGAAGACGTGGACCTGCATAGACAATTTTTTGCCTTAGACTCTGGTATTCATTACGAACTTCAAATACCAAATTTGAAACAATTCCGGTGAGTAGTGTCGCTAAAATCATCAAAATACCGAATATCGAGAGGTACCGTTATATGGGGGCTATACCAAAACGTGGACCTACATGGCCCATTTTCAATAGCAAAAGTCGTGCAGACATAATACACATTTGAGTAAAATTTTATCAATCTACTTCATTTCGTTCGGAATAGTGATTTCCACAGACGGACACACGGATAGACGGAAATCGATAAATCGACATAGAATTTTATGCTGATCAAGAATATTTATACTTTGTGGGGTCTAAAATGTATATTTCTAGGTGTTACTAACGGAATGACAAACTTAATATAACCTCCATACTTTGGTGGAGGGTATAAAAAATTTCCAATATAAAATTTTCTTATATTCCGAGCCGAACCTTTAATACCCTCAACAATTTGGAAGAAATTTGTTGAATGTTAAAAAATTGCGTTGAAAAATGCTTTTAATTTTTTAAAAATCCGAATACCAGGTGTTGGTCTCTTATGGGGCCATTCAAAAACTATACCTATATTTGGATTTATATGAGCAGTTCTCTGCAAATATGTTTCCTTCGCCCAATACCAGATTTAATACTATTTAGAACTTTTCCTACAATTATAGTACACATTTCCAAAACCATCTCCATATATTAAAAAAGACGATAATCTCAAATTTCGGGATTCCAGTTCTATACATTCACCCAATACCCAATTTGGTACCTATTAGTACTTTTTGAACAGATAGTGTACATATTTCCAGAATCATCTCCATAAAAGACACCAACCGTCACATCTATATCAAATTTCGGGATTTCAGCTCTATTTCCCCACTCAATATCAAATTTAGTACTATTTAGTATTTTTCGAAAAATTATTATTATTTATAGTACTCTTTTCCGAAACCACCTCGTTATTTCAATTTAGGATCCAACGCTGCAAACATCCATTTTTAGGATTCCAGTCCTATAAATTCACCCAATAACAAATTTAGTACCATTTAGTACTTTTCGTACATATATAGGACGGATTTACTAACCTCCGCCATATCTCAAACACAGTATTTTAAATTCCATTAGTAATTTACATTTCAGATTATCTATCTGTTCACCCAATGGCAAATTGTACCAATTATAGTACTCGTCAATACTTTTCGTGCACTTATAGTACACGATTCCAAAAAATCCTCTTTATATAAAATATACATTCAAGAGGGTCCCCCATATACAAAATTTAAAAATTCCGGCTCCACGCGTTCTCCCTAAAATAAACGGTACCAATTTTAGTACGATTTAGTACGGTTCGCACACTTAGTATGCATTTCCGAAAGCACAATTAAACCCAATTTTCAACATTGATTCTTATAGCAAATTTCAGGTTTTTAATTCTAAAGTCTTCCCAAAGGATTTGAGATTTTCTAGGCGAAGGATTGAGGTTTTCCGTAGATATCATATTTTTCATACTCTTCCATAAACAGAATTTTCCCAAAAAAATAAGATTTTTTAAGTCTGCTTTAAGACTACTATAGAGAGGATGATCGTTTTGAAGTCTTGGTCTTCTGTGGAAAATGACCTCTCCGAGTTATATATCTGTGGCCAAATCGACTGATACTCTCTATCTTGTTTATTTTCAGATATGGCTGCCACGATCTTAATGGGAACGACACGGCATTGATTATGTGTTCCTCCGGTACTACAGGAACGCCCAAGGGTGTTATGTGCTCCCACAGAGCTTTGCTGAATCAAAAAGTATGGTATGTATATTTTACTTGCCTTAAAAATTAAACCCAAGTTTGCGGGACCCTTGACGGCGATCACGAAATTCAAATGCCTCCCATTAATATTTCAATTTTAGTTTGACCATCAAAAGAGATTCGGTGATATCCACCTTCAGTACCATGTATTGGATATCGGGTGTTTTAATGATGCTCTCCTCTCTGACCAGCGGTTGTCTGCGTATTTTAACCACGCGGCCCTTTACAACCGACTACTTTCTAAAATTGATTGAAAGCCACCAAATAACACATTTCTTTGCAAGTGGTAGTTATATGGCGGAATTGTGCATGTATGCAGATACCAAGCGAATTCAGAGCTCCTTAAGGTCGATTGATACTCTCCTGGTGGCCGGTTCAAAGATACCTTTGGCCGTACAGGAAAAGATGAACGGCATCTTGGGGTGCAACAAACGAAGACCTGGTTTCAACGTCGTCTATGGCATGACTGAATTATCGGGTATTTTGAGCAGTAATTTACATTATGTGGCCGATAGTTTGGAGGGAACTGAGGGCAAGCTGCTGCCCAATAATAAGGTAAAAATTATTAACAAACAAGGTCAGCGTTTGGGACCCACCGAACATGGCGAAATATGCATATGGACACCATACACCTGGAAGGGTTACTTCAAAAATCCCGAGGCCACAGGGAAAGCTCTTAAAAATGGTTGGCTGCACACAGGTGATATTGGGTTCTTCGACGAGAAGGGATTTCTTCACGTTTGCTCCCGTGATAATGATGTCTTTAAATCGAAAAATTTCCAAATTTATCCACCCCTGGTAGAAGATGTTCTTTATCGTTTACCCGGCATTGCTGAGACGTGTATTGTTGGAGTTCCCGATATGGTGGCAGCGAATTTAATTGCATGTGTCGTGGTGCGCAATAAAACCGTGGAAGGCATACGTCTCACGGTCAAGGATGTTGAGGAGCATGTGGCAGCCAATATGGGTAGTATATATCATATAAGCGACGGGGTTTATTTTGTCGATAGCTTGCCAAAAACTGGATCTGGTAAGGTTAAAAGAAGCAAAGTTTTGAAATTGGTAATGTCGATGAAAGATGTTGCATTAGAGGCGTTGGAATAAATTAATGATGTTTATATTTTATTGAAAATTGTTTTTTTTTTTGGTTCAAGATACCTTATTAAAGTCGGCTTTTTTTTGTTCGGGATACCATAGTAGTTTGTTGTTGCAAAATGGTCAGGCTTCATCCCTTTATTGTTGTTTTTAAACAACGTTTGTTTATTAGTGGAGACAGATGGTAATGTTTACCAGGGGGTAAGACAGGGAATACCTAGGTTTCGGAAAGAGCCACCAATTCTCATCAGTTCCCTTGTTTTTTTTTGTCTGGGATATTCTCCCCAGAAGCTATTTTAAAAATAACTTCTATGACAAAAAACATTTTTTTTTACTCAAGTGACCGAATACATGTGTGCTATACGAAAACCTGGACCTATATATACTATGTTCCGCCACAGGAGCTAGAACCCACTATGAACAACAAGTACCAATTTTTATACAAGTCCGTAGAAAAATTTAGCAAAAATCACTCCGTATATCACCTACACAATGGTGATATACCGCCACCGGAGCTAGAACTCATTATAACCTACCGAATATCGGGATGCATTGTTATATGGAGGCTATACAAAAACGTGGACCTATACATACAATATTTCGCCACCGGATCTACAACCCATTATAACCTTCAAATACCAATTTTTAGACAAATCCGTGGAAAAATGTGGTGTAAATCCTCAAAATATCGAATATTGGGAGGTATCATTATATGGGGGATATACATAATTAGGTAACTATACAGGGTGAAAGTCAAACGCCATAATTTTTAATTTTTTTTTAAGTTTTATTGAATGAAAGCAAAAATGTCGGAAATAGCATCAAATTTTAGAATAAATTAAGATTTGTTCGAATTGGTTACCTTTGGCACGAATTATGGCCTTCAAACGGCCAATGAAACCGTCACACGCTGCCCGAATGTTGCTCTGCGGTATTTTGGCCCATTCTCGGCTTGAGGTGATCGACACTCTGGTATATTTTAGTGTCAACCTTGATTTCCAAAATACTCCAAACACCAACGGATTGGTATCCGGAGATTTTGGTGGGCATTGTGTGCTGGAAATGAAGCGAGGAACCTCAATTGGTAACCATTCTTGGGTGGCGCGTGCTGAGTGCGCTGGTGCTGAGTCCTACTGGAATGTCCAAGGTCTGCGGCCAAAATATTTGCGTGCCCATGGTTTTAATACACCCTCCAGAATATTTTCGCGATAATATTCGGCATTTATTCTGATGCCACAGTCGATTAATACGACTGCGAAGAGCGACCATCGGCTGTTATGGCGGCCCACACCGGCGCTTGAGTTCTGGTGGTCAATCGAAGGTGCACATTTTCAGCTGACATCTTTGGGATCATTTTGTTCGTTTACAAACTGCTGGACAGCGAATGTCTTCTCATCAGAAAAAACCAAATTCGGCAGTTCACCACTTTAGGCCAAGCGAAGAAACTCTTAAGCTCTTTTGAGTCTATTTTCTTTCTGCTGCGGTGTAAGTTCTTGCACTTTTTGGAATTTCAATGGCTTTACCCCGAGCTCATTTTTCAGTATATGCCGAATGGAATATTGCGATATGTCCAGCATACGAGCCATTTTTCGGCCACTGCGACGTTGGTTTCGATCAAGTCGCTTCTTTACTTTTCGAACCATTTCTGCTGATGTTGCAGTTTCCTTCCGTCCACTTCTTTGACGTCGGACTACGCTACCAGTATCACGGTAATGAGCGATGGTCCAAGACACAAAAGAGTTATTTACATTTAAATGCTGAAGTCCTCTAACTATAGCCACTTGTGGTTTTCCAGCAAAATATAAAGAAATCTCACTATCACGCTTAAATTCCATCACGAGTAACACTTTTTTTGGAAAATTATCACAAAAAGTTTTTGTACGCTCGTAAACAATATAATGAGCTTTCACTGGAATAATTTTAACAGCTGTCGGACGAGTGGCTTAGAAATGACAGCAGTCTGAAGTTGGTTGCAGTTTTTTCATCTCACCCTGTATGTGAATATTCCTTACTAAGTGGTGACAAGTTCTACCGATCCAATAGATTTTTCCTTAAATAAAACGTGCAGATAAAAACCGGTTTTACATCAGTTCCATCAACAATGAAAGCGGAGATTCGATATTAAAAATGCCATCAGAATTTAACAACTTGTTGGATTACATCGTAAATTTCAAAACGCAGTTCCCTTCGTTACATTGTACGAGATAAGGGCCAACGGGGTGATAAGGTAAATGTTTTCAAATGTGATTCTCAATCATACCCAGCGATGTTAGAATTCCATCAGTATTCCGAAGTTGCTTGGACTGTAAAGACAAAATTCAAATCTCAAAAAAAAAAGAAAACACATATTACGAAATGGCTTACCTCTCAGGAACGGCATACAATGAAGAAGAGAAAATATGGTCTGGACCTCGATGCAAAGAAACCTATAGCCGAGAAATGACGGTGGGCGAGGCCATAGTATTACAACTGCGCAAAACTCCACAGAAAATAATACAAATTTTGGAATCAACGGGAGAATCTCTAACGGCCCAGGACTACCTAGATCACAGTATGTCACTGGCGCGAAATATTCTTGATATGGGTGTACAGGCCGGTGATATTGTGGGTATTTATGCCAAACATTCACTTCATCTGGCCACAGTGATTTTGGCTTCATTTCTGTGTGGAACTCCCATCCATGGAGTCTACGATAAATTTGAAAAAGGTAATGAGAATGCAAAAAATCGAAGAAAAATTGAATTATAATACGAGGATTCTACCTTTTTAGATACCATAACAAAGCTCTATGAAACTACAAGACCGCGTGTGATCTACTGCGATGAGGAAAATTACAAAAATGTTCTTTTTGCCTTGGAACAGCTGCAATTGGATGCCAAAATTGTTTTGATGACCGGTAACTTGCCGGGAGTGTTAAACATTAAAGATTTGGTAGAGAAGCGCAACGATGTCGGAGATATTTTCACATTTCCATGCTCGAAATTGACAAGTGCCGATACGGCAGCTATACTTAGTTCATCCGGTACAACGGGTACACCAAAGGGGGTGATGTGTTCCCACCAGGCTATGCTCCATAATTTGATATAGTAAGTAAAAAAAATCTGCAGATTTTAGAATATAAATTTGCAATGGTGGATTTTTAGAGAATACTTTTTCAGGACCCGCACAGTTATAATCGTGGCTTTCATATATTTTTGTGGAACCATAGAGTTATGATTGAGGAAAAAATGTTTCTTTCAGGGACCCGCAGAGTAACAATTGTGAATTTTAAAACAATAATTATCTAGGTCCCCTACAGAAGTTTTAAATGGTATTTTTTCAAGGACGGATAGAGTAACAATTGTGGAATTTTTAAAAGGTGATATTTTAAGGACTTACATTTTTTGAAAGAAAAAAATTCCAAAGACTTACAGAGCAGAATAACTATCGTGGAATTAAAAAAACCAAAGTTCCACAGTGTTATAATCGAGAATTTAAAAAAAGTCTTAGTTTCAATTGTGTTTTTTAACCTCCAAGTTACAATCTTGAATATAATACAGGATTGTAAGACCCACAGTTGTCTATAAGTTACTAGGACCAACCACATTATAATATTTTAAAAATCAGTAGAATTGGAGTCCTAAATCTTAGTTATAACGGCGGATTTATAAAGAAGGACCACAGGATGGACTTTTTAAAGAGTATTTTCCAAACACACAGATTTTTTAAGAAGTTTTCTTTTTCAGTTCCCATTTTTTAAGGATTTATAAAAATATTTTCAAACAATATTTTCTAACAGCTACAAAGATTTCAATCGCAATTTTTCGTCATTTTCTGAGAAAGACGTGGATTTTTTATATCAGTTGCAGTGCAGTTGCTGGTGTGGGGATTTTTAAGGATCTAGTAAACATTTTTTCAAAGACCAACAGAGTTAATAGTTCATGTAGGTCCACGTTTTCATATAGCCTCCATATAACGGTACCTCCCGATATTCGGTATTTTGATGATTTTAGCGACATTATTCACCGGAATTGTTTCAAATTTGGTATTTGAAGTTCGAAATTGATACTACAGCCTAAGACAGAAAATTATCTGTGCAGGTCCACGTCCTCGTATAGCCTCCATATAACGGTACCTCCCTATATTCGGTATTTTGATGATTTTGGCGACATTATTCATCGGAATTGTTTCAAATTTGGCATTTGAAGTTCGTAATGAATACTACAGCCTAAGACAGAAAATTGTCTATGCAGGTCCACGTCTTCGTATAGCCGCCATATAACGCTACCTCCCAATATTCGGTATTTTGATGATTTTAGCGTCATTACTCACCGGAATTGTTTCAAATTACGTATTTAGAGTTCGTAATGGGAACTACAGTCTGTGACAGAAAATTGCCTTTGTAGGTCCAGGTCTTCGGATAGGCCCCATATATCAGTGTCTCGGAATATTTTGACGATTTTAAGTACAATACTCACCGAAATTGTTTGAGATGTCGTATTTGAAGTTCGTAATGGATGCTACAGCCTGTGACAGAAAATTGTCTATGCAGGCCCAGGTCTTCGTATAGCTCCGATGTAACAATGCCTTGGTAGGCCCACATCGTATTGACCCCAATCCAATATAACGATAATATTCGGTATTTACATGATTTTAACAGAATTTTTAACGGATTTCATTTTTGAAAATATCCAAACTCGTTCCAAATGGTGGATGGTATTCAAAGTTCGGTCCGGCCGAACTTACTGCTGTTTTAACTTGTTTTTTTCAAGTTTCGCATTTGAATATTGTAATGGCTTATGACAAAAGTTGCCTATACAGATCCTCGTCGTCGTATAGAGCACATCGATATTTTTAAGATTTTAACAGAATTTTTTACGGATTTTATTTATTTATTTTTTTTTTGAAAATTGCCAAATTCGTTCCAAATGGTGGAGAGTATTCAAAGTTCGACTCCGCGGAACTTACATCTTTTTTACTTGTTTTAATAACATTTTTCTATGAAACCATGTTGTAACAATGTGTTTTTTACACATTTGTGTATTATTAAAGAGTGTAGTACAAGGCCCTGAAGCGTTCAAACAATATTTTTTGTGGAAATAAAATGTTATATATTCAAATATAACTTTTTAAAAGTCACGGTCCATATTTATGTTTCCATACAATTACATCACCGAAATTTCGTACTCTTAAGTTTTCAGTTTAATATTTCGGGTTCTCATTGCAAAAAATATTCAATTCAGATGTATTTTTTAATATTTCCTCTTAGAATCTTGGTATTGTGAATCATAGCATTTGCTCTACGTTTCTTGTTATTGTGAGGCTTTAATTTGGTATTTCGGGTCTTCAATAGGAAGTTTAATTTCTAGGAAATATTTATAGCAGATTCATATTACCATACAACTGAATTTGATATATATCGGATTTTTTGGGTTGTGGTGGAGGGTATAAAAATTCAGGCCTTGAGTTAAACAAAAGTTCTGCCCTCAGTTTTACAAACGTAGTTTGGTAACAAATATGCGATTAAAATTGTTGATGTTTCAAATATATATTTCAAGGATTCACACGGTTTTAATTGCGACTTTTAAAGAAACTTTTTTCAAGAACTTAGTTTGCCTTATTTTTACACCCTCCATCATACATAGGTGGAGGGTATATAAAGTTTGTCATTCCGTTTGTAATTAATCGAAATAATAATTTTAGACCTAACAAACTATATTCAGGGTGTGATAAAAAACTGCAAAAAAGTCAAACGTCATAATTTTTACATTTTTAAACCCTACAACACTATGTGTTGGGGATATTATAAGTTTGATTGGGCCATAAATTATGTAACACCTCGAAATAACGAAATAACACATACCAATTTGGGCGGCCATTGGACAATAAAGCGGCTAAAATAGAGCCTAACTTTTATGGATTTATAGCAAAAAAATTACATATATATGTAAAAGAATTGATCTTATTTATTCTGCTTATAAATCAAGAACCGCTGGGCCGATTTTCACAATTCCCATGAATTCGGAATAGTCTCTTGCCATAAAACGATAAAATCTAAGAAAATCGCGGAAAAATATACCAATAAAAAAGTGATTATCTTTTGTCCATTTTTTTTTAATTTTTGTCATATTTTTTTATCGCATGCGATTTTTTCAATTTGACTTACAATTTTGAATTGTACATTTTCTAAATTTTTACAGATATATTCAGTTTACGAGCTAGTTTTTCGGCCAATGCGACGCGTGTTTCGATCAAGTCGCTCCTTTACTTTTCGAACCATTTCTGCTGATGGACTCTTGTCAATATCACAGTTCTTAGTAACGTGTATTGTATTTTTCATGCAGCTCTACGTTAAATTTCCTGATCTACAATATTGATCCCACATATTTCTAATTTATAGTCACATCCTAACACTTCAAAAACTTGTCTTAAGCCTACACATCGATATAGCACATGTTCCATTTTTTTGAACACCTAACGCCAATGGTACCAATATTAGAACCATTTGGAACTTGTCGTACATCATCCTATGCTACAGCTTAAAATTTAGAATTCTTTTACTCAAAAACAATCACTTAGGTCTATTTGATCACCTCAAACATATTATAACAAAACAGAGCCATTTGCTTATTTTCGTACATTTACAGTACATTTTTCCAAAAATGAACCCTTGACAACCTTAGTGTAACAGCAAGTTTAATTTCAAAATAATTAATTCTTACAACGCGGGTTAAACTCCATTGCAAGAGGATCGTAGCAAGTCAAAATATTCGACATAATTTTTTGCAACAAAATTCGACTATTAGTTCCAGAATAAATCAAAGCTCCAAATCTGACCTAGACGCCAGGAATTCATAAATATCGAAAAGAACATATTTTAGGGTTAAAAATTATACAAAATTCTCCGACTAAGCATCGTTTAAGAAGATGACTCCAAATACAAAAATATTCCTCAACAAATTCCACCATAAGACACCAAAAAAAGAGATCTCGGTTTCCATTAGAAATTCCAGGTGCATTCGGTTTACAGAGCAAAACCCCAAAAAGCTTTGGGTACTTAAGCCAATGCTTTAGAGGCGTTGATAATATATAAATTAAGTCCAATATTTCACTATCACAACATTTAATATAAAGCTTTAAAAATGACTAGAGAGCTTTGAATAACTTCAAGAGTCATTGGTTTAAAATATAGGTTATGTCGGTCTTTTTTTTTTTTGGTATTATCTCTCTATTATTTATTTAATAATATTTTCTTTGGATTGAATTTCGATTTCTCTTTTTCTTCTCTTTTTAAATACTTTCTTTTGTTTCGATTTTCCCTCTAGTCTCACTGCCACCATGGACTCAGTGCTAATGTGTTTTAGTACCATGTATTGGGCATCGGGAGTTATGAATCTACTGCAAAGTTTATTATCTTCAGCGTTGCGCATTGTTCCCGATAGACCCTACAGTGCCGAATATCTTCTCGATTTAATTAAGCGTTACAAAGTTCCACATTTCTTTGCGACTGGCACACAGATTATTGACTTAGTTCTTAACCAAGACAAAAAAGTTGTACGCTCTTGCCTCGCACCGTTGATATGTGGCGGTGCGAAACTTCCTCAAACAATACAGGAACAAATCATTGATATTCTCTCGGATAATACGAAACGTCCCGGTTTTGTCGTGACCTATGGTTTATCTGAGATAATGGGAGGGGTAAGCATCAATGGAGGCAATCCATTCAATTTTAAGCCTGAAACGGAAGGTAAACTCTGGTGCAACAGGGAGGTGTGTTTGGTGGATGAGGCGGCACAACGATTGGGCCCCAATGAAACTGGTGAACTTTTTGTTCACAGTCCATATATATGGACGGGTTATTACAAGAATCCCGAAGCCACAGCCCAAGCCAAGCATGACAAATGGATAAGGACAGGAGATTTGGGCTACTTTGACAGCGAGGGTTTCTTACACATTATTGGTCGTGCCAAGGAAATGTTCAAATGGCGAGGTTTCCAGATATGTCCTCAGCCCATAGAAGAAGTGTTGCAGCGCATACCAGGTGTGGCGGAGGTCTGTGTATTTCCTCTACCTGATCTGGTGGCTGGTAGTTTGGCAGCATGTGCCATTGTCAGGACCAATGATGAGACTGGTCGTAATTTAACTACCCAAGTGGTTAATGAGTGTCTTGAACAGCAACTGGATAGCTTTTATCACCTACGGGGCGGAGTCTACTTTGTGAATGCCCTACCACGTACCGACACTGGCAAAGTGCAGCGTCTTAAAATGCCACAAATTATTGGAGTAATTGAGAGATAAAACTTAAAATTCAATGTATTTGTTAAAATGTAGATTTATAATTATATTTTTAGGAACTGGATAAAAATAAAATTTGTAGCTCGTAATATTTAAACTTAAGTTTCCTACTGAACAATTGATGTTACCTCTACGGTTTCTGGTACATGGTTAGGGAAAACTGCAAATTTCAAATATTGTCGCGTTTATACTTTTGGTTATTGCGCATATGCAAGATTCTGCAGAAAGAAAACAACATCTTTATAAAATTTCTCTCTCTCTTTCATATTTTCTTCTTCCATTATTTATTTCAATATTCTCACATCTAAGTTGCAAAAAAAACTCTTCGACTTTTTCGAAATTTTTCCAGAGGTAGGTTTTTTTTCCCTTATTCCGAGAAACAATGTTCGTCTTGTGGGACATATTTTTGACCCGAATGTCCGTGTTCAAGGCCCGGGCTAGACCAGTATCCATTTACCCGATGTAGACAATATAGATATCGTTTGAAAGCTTATGAAAATACTTACCCAATAGGGAAGCATTTTATCGCTCTGAAATTTTCCTCAGACATTCATATTACCTCTAATATGTTTGGCATTAAAAATGGAACATATCGGCCCACGTTTCGGTAAGGCCCCCATATAGCGTTACTTTCTGATTTTTGGTATTTTGAAGGTTTCGGCCACAATTTCAAACGTAATCATGAGTATCTTGACATTTTGAGTTCTGAGCGGACAAAATCTCTCCCTGCTAAATTTTGTGAAGATAAATCCACTATTAACTATTGACCGTATATAACGGCACTTCCAAATTGTATGTATTTTGGCAATTTCTCCCTGCAAAATATATAATGGCACTTCCTAATATTAGGTATATTGAGGACTTCAGACAGAAGTTTTTACAAACTTATTATTTTGTATTTTGTTTCCCAATGGATGGATGGAAATATTACAAAAATTGCCTATATAAATCCAAAATTTGACTTAAGCAAAAAATTTATTTATCCTTTGTAAAACCTTCTAAATCTGAAGACAAAAATACTACATATTTTTATGAGGAAAGGAATAATTATAAAAAAATATATACAAAATTGGCCTTCATATCAGAAATATACTAAAACCTTATGATATATTTAGAAAAAAAATATATGTGACTGACATTTAAAAAATCATCCTCCCTTACATCTCTCTTATTGTCTTAAATTGGATCATCAGTCAAAATTGAGGGTGAAATAAGTAAACTCACCACTGATTTTTTCAAAGAGACTGAAATACTTTTATGTATAGTTTTATATATCGTTTAGAATTCCAGTCAATAACAGGATAAAAACCCAAGAGAAACATCTTTAGAAAGACCAACACAAAAAAAAACTAATAAAACAGAGAACAAGATCAAAGTACATTCACCGCAAAATCAGTTGACTATTTTCACCATTTTTTAAATTAAACGAAAACGGCAAAAAAGGAACGAGTTTTTTGTTGATTATGAATGATGACATCCCATACTAAAATACAAAATTAAAATTTTAAGACCTTCTCGATATTATTTTTTTTAAAACTCCACATACTTTTCGCATATGGCGAAAATATGGTAATATTTTGAATTAATTTTTAAAATATTTTTACATCATTATTTTTAAAACTTTTTTGTTCTGAAACACTGATAACTATCTGTATACGATGTTTCAATTTTAAAATAATAACTTTTGATGAAAAAAACTAAATTATTACACTTCAAAAAACCAAAGACAATTTTTTTCCTTCTTCTTGCGAAAAGTGAAATACTGAAATAGAATTTAGTGTTCTATAATAGTTTAAAAACATTTATTCCAAAAGACGAATTCCATTTTTCAATTGCATATGCTACTTTTGTCATAAACCATTAAAATATTCAAATGCGAAACTTAAAAAAAAATCGGTGAATAATGTCGCTAAAATCATCAAAATACCGAATATCGGGAGGGGGACTTTTGTCATAAACCATTAAAATATTCAAATGCGAAACTTAAAAAAAAAATCGGTGAATAATGTCGCTAAAATCATCAAAATACCGAATATCGGGAGGTACCGTTATATAAAGGATATACGAAGACGTGGACCTGCACAGACAATTTTCTGTCTTAGGCTGTAGCATCCATTACGAACTTCAAATACCAAATTTGAAACAATTCCGGTGAATAATGTCGCTTAAATCACCAAAACACAGAAAATAGGTAGGTACCATTATATGGGGGCTATAGCAAACCGTGGACTTACATTCGACGGTCCCATCTGGCAACGCCATAACTTTTGACAGAGATGTCACATCGCTTGATGACATACCGCGTTTGAAGCGTCAGTCCAAGCAGATTTTTACCATGAACCAATACACGCCACGCGAGCGCTCTGAAATAGTTGAAATTTACAAGAAGTCAATTGTGAAAACTCAACGTGCTTTTAAAATATTAAAAAATGTGAGAAGTGCGCTTCTAAGAACACCATTAAGCGTTTATACGAAAAATTTTCGACTGTTAAGGCTCTTTCTAATCCGAAGAGGCCATATAAAAGTCGACCAAGGCGATCGGCCGATAATATCGCTGCCGTACGAGCCAGTATTGAGAGGTCGCCAAGAACATCCCAAAAACGCCGTTCTCAGCAGTTGGGCATGGCTTGGTCCACTTTACTTTACTAGAGTGATTTCCACAGACTGTCAGACGGACGGACATCGCCAAACCGACATAAAATTTTATGCTGTTCAAGAATATATATATATATATATATATATATATATATATATATATATATATATATATACTTTGTGGGGTCTCAAATGTATACTTCGAGGTGTTACAAACGGAATGACAAACCTAATATGGAGGGTTTGAATAATATGGAAAAGTAATATTGAGCATCGAACTCTCTAAGATTATTAAAAAATTCAACTACAGCGAACGGCCGGGTTTGGCGGTAGGTACATACAGGCTGATATAAAAAAACTGCAACCAATTACAGACTGCTGTCATTTCTAAGCCACTAGTCCGACAACTGTTAAAATTATTCCAGTGACAGCTCATTACATTGTTTACAAGCGTACAAAAGCATTTTGTGAGAAGCGCTGGATCGAAACCCGCGTCGCAGTGGCCGAAAAATGGCTTGTGAACTGAACATATCGCAATATTCCATTCGGCAAATATTGAAAAATGAGCTCGGGGTAAAGTCATTGAAATTCCAAACACCGCGACATAGAGAAAATAGACTCAAGAGAGCTAAAGATTTGTTTCGCTTGGCCGAAAGTTGTGAACTACCGAATTTGGTTCTCTGCGATGAGAAAACATTCGTTGTCCAGCAGTTTGTAAACAAACAAAATTATCCAAAGAGGTCAGCTGAAAATGTGCATCTCCGGTTGGCCACCAGAACTCAAGCGCCGGTTATGGTGATGGTGTGGGCCGCTATAACTGCCGATGGTCGCTCTCCGCTCGTATTAATCGACAGTGCTATCAGAATAAATGCCGAATATTTTTGCGAAAATGTTCTGGAGCACGCAAACAGTTTGGACGGAGACCTTGGACAGTCCAACAGGACTCAGCACCATCGCACCCAGCACGCGCCACCCAAGAATGGTTACAAAATGAGGTTCCTCGCTTCATTTCTAGCACACAATGGCCACCAAACTCTCCGTTGGACTATTGTGTCTGGAGTATTTTGGAAAGCACGTTTGGCACTAAAAAATACCAAAGTGTGGATCACCTCGCGTCGTTTGGAATGGGCCAAAATCAGTGTTGCCAACATTTTGAGAGCTAGAAGCGTAATTAAAAACCAGAAAAGCGTAAATGGCGTAAAAACTTTCCTTAAAGAAGCGTAAAAAGCGCAATATATTTTTTTCTAACCTAAATGCAAGAATTGTCCATAAAACACTTTTTTTTTAACTAAATACTGTTTGTAATTTATGGATTCGAAAACCGCTGAATAGATTTTCCTGAAAATTTCCATGTATACTGCAACATCGCCTGAAAGTAACATAGGCTATATACATTTTTGACTTTCCACTTGGAACTGGAGATATATCATCAGAATCGGAGGTACCTCCCAAAAATTTAGATTTTATATGCACATATCTATTGATTGGTTAAAGATACAGTCTCCAAAATTGGAATGCGTAATGGAATTTGGAACAAAAATAAGTTTGCCAAAGTATATTGTAATCGGTTCAGATTTGAATATAGCTCCCATATATATTTTTCGACCGATTTCGTTCATTTGATGCCTCAAACACAATATGAATGTTCGATTCCAATGAAATTTGGAATGTGTGACGGGATTTGATCCGAAAATAAATTTGTCAAATTATATTAAAATCGGTTCAGATTTGGATATAGCTCCCATATATATTTTCGGCCGATTAAAGCATTTGATGCACCAAACACGCTATGTATCCCCAATTTCAATGCAATTGGAAACGTGTGATAGATTTAATCTAAAAAATTGATTTCCCAATTTATATTTAAATCGGTTCAGATTTGGATATAGCTCCCATATACATTTTCGGCCGATTTCATTTATTTGGTGGACCAAACACGATATGTATTCCCAATTGTAATGAAATTTAAAATAAGTAACGGAATTGGGAGCCAAAATGAATTTGTCAAATTAAATTGAAATCGGTTCAGATTTGGATATAGCTCCCATATATATTTTCGACCGATTTCATGTACTTGATGCACCAAACACGCTATGTATCTCTTATTTCAATGAAATTTGGAATGTGTAGCGGAAATTAAAACAAATATACATTTGTCAAATTATATTAAAATCGGTTCAGATTTGGATATAGCTCTCATATATATTTTCGACCGATTTCATGTATTTTATGCACCATACACGATATGTATGTTCGATTCCAAAGAAATTTGGAATATGTAACGGGATTTTGATTAGAAAATAAATTAGTCAAATTATATTAAAATCGGTTCAGATTTGGATATAGCTCCCATATATATTTTCCGCCGATTTCACATATTTGATGCGATACGAATTTCCGATTCCAATTAAATTCGGCATGAGTGGCTAAATTTGGTACAAAATTAAATTTGACAAATTATATTTAAATACGCTCAGATTTGATTATAGCTTCC